AGTGTCCATCAACTTCCAAAAGCCTTGTGTAGCTATGATCATGACAGTCGGATCTATGTGATCGATAGTCGTGCGGGTTATAACCGGCATCGCAGTCAAGTATGGCGGCGATAGATAGTTGATCCATTGTATTGGCAATCTCCCACGGAGCTGTGTGGCCGCCTTCAACTGCACATCCATCGGCCATTTGTATCGGGCATCACCGAAGGACCGTGTCACCCTTGAACCGCAAAGTAACCCATTTAGCGGAAAGATGAGTTCCCCGCCGTGCTCTGTTTGAATCCTCTTCATTTCCGACTCGTTAGAGCACACTTGATCAGTAGATAAGGGCTCATGGCTCCACATAAAATGGTTGCGATACTTTTCCCCAATTACTGCTCTTGTATCGCCGGTGCACGCAACGAATAGACTGCTGACTTTCGGGATGAATAAGGCTACTAGCGCACATGAGCCAGACCTACATGGAGCTAGTTTCCCTATTTTATCTTGGGGTGGATGGTCGCTTTCAACAGCTTCCCTGCCTCCAATGATTATGGCATCGTCAATATCGGTAAAAGCCTTCTTAATAGCATTCTGAATAGTGCCGTTAGGAAATGGCCACTTGGGTACATCTGCTAAGGAATCTTCTAGGTTTTTCCGAATAGAAGGGATGAGAAATTTCTCTAACAGTTGAGCTGTTTCCTGACCGTCGTGGCCGTCGAAAACACCCCATGCAAGCCAGTCGGCGTCATCCTCATAAGGCGAGGGAAATTTGCCATGTGACAATCGCTGCTCGCATGGGCATTCCCCAGGCAGCTGAGCAGACTCATATCTGGTGACGTGCGTGGAGGTGCGGACTGAGTAGGAATATGCCCTGTCTGATAGAATATTGGTTACGTCTTCTTCGGAGGGACCCCGTAAGAGGGAGGTGTCGAAAAGCCCTCGCCGTAAGGGGGAGGGTTCCTCTCTCGGTATGTCGGGTGCTTCAAAGCGGGGAGGCGGACTGAGCCTTATTTGCTGCTCAAGGGGATTAAACATGGAAACGGTCTGGGATAAGAGCTCTGGGATAAGAGGTTCCTAAGATAGTGATGCGTCTTCCCTAGTAGTTGACAATAGCAAAATTGGCATACGTTGACGTTCATATATATCTCACAGAAGAAGGGCGCAGCTCTATAGCTAGGAAGGGGGAAAATGCCAGGTGATATGTGTTTCCGTGCCTACCTACCTAGCTATATGACAATCCGTCGGACTCTCCCTGTTTACAATCAAAGGTTTATATTTTAGAAGTCACAGCAACATTTATGTTCGGGATATATATGAGGAAGTCACGTCCAGATACAATCTCTAGCTACCTTGTTGCATCATCTTGCACTTCCGTCGTCCGCGATGTACAAAACACACGCAACTGATTTGTTAGTAATAAATACAGACTTGCACCGTCCATAATCGCTATGCTATTGATGAGACTCGGGAACTACCAACGCATCCCGTCATATGGTCGCTGTGACAGGCACCACCTGTCCAGTATATTCTTGCTCGATTATTGTTCCTTGTAATTACCAAACTAATACTCGCCTATTCAGAGTTGGCGGGGGCGAATATAGGGATTCTGGTAAACACAAAACTATTGCCTTCTTTAATTAGTCACCTGCACAAACATAAGCGGTGTTGAGTCCTCCCAAGACACGATTCAACTCCATCACAACCTCTCTGTCTTGCCTCGCCTAGAAAGCGATATGTCTTCCTCAACAGCCCCTATGATATATACCTTCGGCTCCACTAATGAACCTGTCGTCGTTAGCTTTACCGTTAGACTCTCCCCTTGCTTTCATGGCCGTAGCGAGAGGAATGCCCCTGTCGGTGTTAACACGAGATTATACTATAGTTTGGCCGCACGTCAATGAAACACAATATTCTTTATCGCTACTTTGCCCACCCTGTTTCTTCCTAATTAGTACGGCCTTTTTTGCTAGAGGCTAGAGTCTCAGATGTAGTGGTCACAGGGATTAAACTATTGTGTAGGAGGAGGCGCGAGTGAAGTAGAAAGTTTTATGAAACACCCGACTCATGCCAACTGAGCCTCAATAATGCTTTCCAACGACGACGGATGACGCCATATATTACAGACCTCAAAGCCAGCAGCCCGAAGGAGCCCCCTCCACCTCGTTTCTGTCCGTTCCGCTGCTGAGACGAGATGCATAATGCTAACGTCTGCCACGCTTTGGTACAGTGTCGCGCCCGTGGTTACAAGTATGCTCTCGTAGAGTAGAAGTTTTGAGTACCCCTTCTTCATTGCCTCAGCGGTGCGGCTAAGAATGCGCCCTGCATCGGAGTCGTCCCAGTCGTGGAGAATCGCGTGCATAAAGTAGACCCGTGCCCCTGAGCCGTGTAAGGCATGTTAGCTACATGTCTGCAAGCTCTTAGGAGGGGTTTGAGATAGGTGAAATATATAAATGTTTTATGTTTCGGCCGGGTGTGTCAAATTGAGCTACGACGTTCAATTCACCTACCTTTTATCGGTTGAGGTGTGAAAAAGTCGCAACTCATAACAGTGATCTTTTCACTCACTTTCGCCATCGCGATGACATCTGGTCTATCCTGTAATATGAGCTTTCCGCGAGGAATATCCGGATAGCGGCTGAAGAATCGTTCTATGTCTACACCATGAGCACCCCCTACATCAACCAAGAGCGGTGCCTCCCCATCAGTGTCAAAGCTGCTCATCATGATCTTCGTGTCGTAGATCTCAGTCCAGTCTAGCTTATAAGCTGCGAGCCCACGCATGAATCCGATGAAGCTGGTCTGATATTCGGGGGTTTTCCGGCATCGTTCGAACATACCCAGCCGCTCTTGCGTCAGGTCCATGTAGCTTGTATTTGTCGAGTCCAGGGGCTCCACGTAACTTGTCCGCGACAAGAATTGTGGTAGATTCCGACTTGAATCTAGGCCGTGATGTGTCCTTTCCAATGCGTATGTATGTCAGAATGACTGAAAACATACACGAAGGAAAAGGCACATTGAGGCCACTGCGTACCCTGACAATATTGTTTGTGCCACGGGCTCCTTGGTCTGCCCTAGAGCTTCTGAGAAGGCGGTGGCGCCGTATCGATCCTCCCCAAGCTCCTGAACGACATTCTCACAAGCTAGGAGACGAAACATGCGGCCTTGTATGTTTGATTAGTGAATGCTTTCATGGTTGCCACTCTTGTACGAGATATAAGACCTCCTTCGCCATCCGTGAGTTGGACGCAGCAATTGGGTCCGGTTGACCTACGGAGAAGCGCTAAATCGCACGGTATTCGAGCCGAAGCGTGAAGCTCCAATAGCGTCATCTCGTGTCGCTTACTCAAATACCATGCCTCCCAAACTCCGAGGTCCAGAGAACAACTTGCACCGCTGCGTGGACATTGCCGTTGATCCACGATAGTCGCCATGCGCGCTCAAAAGGTGTCTCTAGACGCGCAAGTAGCCGTCGTACAGCTTCTACAACTACTGCGCGATCACCTTGCCCGCAGGGGTCATCTCCGTAATCAGACACCGGAATGCGATCAAGAAAGGCGATGAGTTCCTTGACGTTGGTTGGCGACATCGTAAGGTTTTAGGGACCTCGAAATGCGTACGTAGACAACCCGAGGACGGCTTTTCTTTATTAGAGAATATATTGAGATGCTGAAGAGCTCTCATACAGGCTAGCGCCTGCCAGTCCCATGTCTAGGCTCATGATCGCGATTCTGGAACCGGGAGCGCGACGAAGCGCTAAGCTCCAGTGCCATTTGCGACAAACGTGGAACTGCACGGGCATAAGATGATGGATTTTCGTGCAGATCGAACGATTTAGTGGCCGAGGGGACTAGAGACGAGTCTCTTGTGCATTATCTCGAACAAAACTATATCGGGCTGCCAGCAAGTGATTAAACAACGGAGACAGTTACTCTAGCAGGCATCACTAGCTTTGCAATGACTGCAAACTCTGGCCGTGTAAATTGGTGTTCTGTCGAGCTGCGCCGATTTTCAATCGAATCTCTAGAGCTCAGAATGGGATTCCACGCAATACTTGTAAGCATCAATGGTCCAAAGCAAAGCACGTGTGTTCGAGTGACTTTTAAGCTTAGTGCTTAGTCTATCGCGCCGTAGTTTTCACGGTTCTTCAGCACGCTTTCTAGCATCGCACGTTCCAGAGACTTCGTCGTAAATAAATAGCTTGGCTAAATCGAATTATTGTCTAAGTCCCGCAAGATATGACTTTCTTGCAACTCGATTTCTCGCAGCTCATTGGCCGTCAGTAGGACCGCGTAGTAACATAATATTGTTCAACATGGTGCTAACAGGACAGAGGTAGTAGATAGTGGGTTTGCGGAATGGCATGGCGGGCTCACGAGCCTACGAGCCTATTGCATTAGCGAATTATACAATCTGTGACCTAAACGACTACGGTATGGTACGTATGAATATAAAGTACCGTCCAAGCGCAGCAATTGTTCGGTAGAGAACGTATTCTGGGTTTAGCAAGCAACGGAAATCGTATGATCATGCTGCCACCAGATAGCTACTAATTTGGTGACCATGATTACATTTTTGTACAGAGTATCGTCGGCTACATACATGTATGTAGGTAGTACAGAGCAAGGAGCGGCGCCAATTTTCAGGCAGACATAGCTTGGTGATAAAAAGTGGTTGTGGGTTATTACTATGTAGAGTAAGCCTTGGCAATTTTGCCGGATCTAGACTAGGTATTAACAAACTTGGGGATCACGTGTTATGATCCCACTTAGCTGTACCTAGGTACCTGCATCGCTCTGCCACTAAATTTACGGCTCAGCTACCCCAGAATCGGGAATTACATTCATGGTTTTACAAACTTTTTTTTGCGGAAGCACCAGCTATTTCGGCTCGTATTGGCTATGAATTATCTGTGGGTCCAAGTGTTCGGCTGTACAGAAATACCCCCGCAGCCACCCCGCCAAAGGTTTCCTGTCTTATCTTAAGCCATTTTTGAGGATGTAACTAGCACCGGATCACGCGGCCTCGTGGCCCAATGGCAAGGCGTCTGACTACGACTGAACTCACAGTACATGTGATATCCCATGATAATCAGGAGATTCTGGGTTCGACCCCCAGCGAGGTCAATATCCTATTTTTATCATGTGCTTGGCTACAACAGCCCAAGCTTAATCTTTTTGAGAGCAGTTGATGGTCTATCATACCTAGCCAGGGCATAACGTTGACGAGGATAGACTACAGTAGGTATATATACTTTTGGTTACTTATGCATATTTCAATCAGAAATGGCCTTTACCCCACTTGAAGCAATCCCCAGATGTACAGGTGAGATCGAACCAAGCCATGACTTCGCTCTCTTGGTTCTGGATATTATGCGTCACACCCGCAGCACTATAAGCCTGGAACCAATTGTTGTTGCCGTACGTATACCTCGTCCAGTTGTTAACCGGCGTGTTGGGAGTCGTGTTCGTCGGCGTCTGACTGTAGCCCAGCACCGCATTCCACTCCTTGATCTCCTCCAAGAAGTTCTGGTAATTCACCGTCTCGTCAACGGTGCCGTGCAGGATCTGCATCTTCGGCCGCCACCCCTCGTAGGCGGGATAGGCGGCCTTGACGATGGCGGCCCACTCGGCGGGCGCGTGGGTGACCTTGCCGGTCGCGCAGGCGTCGCTCCAGACGCCGTAGCCGTCCGCGGCGTAGCAGCCGAAGGGGACGCCGGCGAAGGCGGAGCCGGCGGCGAAGACGTCCGGGTACGCGCCCACGAGCGTGCTCGTCATCATCGCGCCCGACGAGATCCCCGTCACGAACACGCGCTTGGCGTCGCCATCGTACCGCTTGAGCGCCCAGCGCACCATGCTGACGATGCCCAGGCTGTCGCCGCCCGCGTCGTGCCGCAGCGTCGCGTTCGAGGATAGGTCCCAGCACTTGTCGGCCGTGTTGGGGCTGTCCGGGTAGATGACGATGAAGCCGTACTGCGACGCCAATGTGGCGAACTGGGAGCCCGCGTAGCACACCTGCGCGGAGCCGTGGCACCAGTGCGGGTTGACCAGGATTGGCGGGTGTGCGGCCAGCTTGTCGGGCACGTAGATGTAGAATCCGACATTCCTGGGGTTGGGGCCGAAGTCTTCGGTGACTTTGGTGAGCGCGGCCGCGTTTGCCCCGGTTGCGACGCTGGTCGCGAACGACGCCCAAGGTGACCAGCGCATGTTGAAGATTCCTTGCTAATATGACGGCAGATTTCAATGTTCAAGCAACTCCGAAATCAACATGGCGAACAATCGAAGGACATATATATACTCGTCACTGGCTCGCCGCTCTCAGCGACTCCGCGACATCTTGGGTCCGTTCTGTTCTGTTGACGGCGGAGACTGGTGCTCCGCCCCCATTCTGGGCTAGAGTCACCGCTCACCTTTACTCGGTCTGGGCGACCACTGAGATTTAAGAGAGCACACATATGTCACATCGCTGTGGAGTTTTAGGAGCTGCCAACCCGCCTTGATTCCTAAGTAGGACAGACAAATTAATTAATATTCCAGACCACCTAAAAGGACAGTTGGACCTCATCTCGACCCGGGTACCTGGGCTGGTCAGAATCAGTACCCACAGATGTTCTAGCAGAAACTAGCCAATCGAAATAAAGCCGTGTTCCTATTCGGGTATCTAGGCTAGCTAATGTTCATTCCATAGGTGGGTTACAGTTTCTTTTTAATCCCACGTGGAAGAATCTAGGAGAAGGATCTACAAACCGAGGGTCTTTACTTTTAGGGATTCTATTGTCTCTAGTCAAGCCTATATAAACAAGTGAGTAGAAATACCATTTCACATCTGAAAGAGCCTAGAGTGATGAATGTAATGCTAACGACGCACTACTACTTTATTTGCAATGTGAGCTGAAGGGGTATCTCATTGCATTATATTGGTCTGTCTAGTTGTCTAGTATGGAAGGGTGGAGAGATAGAAACACGGGGTGCAATAACCTGATCTATGATACTAGCCACAGATTCCTATCCTTTCCCTCGCCCGATCATAACAGCCTCCGCACAACCATCTGCCTGAACCATCATCCGCCTTCATCAGGTTGATCTGTAGTGTTATGTGTCCCTTCTTCTTGCATGCGCATTGACATCGAGCAGTAGGGTATGTGTTGTTTAGCCCTCCGCGGTAAACAGGCAGCCTGGTAACATTGTTAGAGCTCTCGGGGCTGCTGGACGAGTCTTGATCTTGTAGTGCAGGCATGGTTAGAAGATGGTATGTGGTTTGTATGGGGATCTTGATCGTGAAAAGTATGTTCGTCCTTATCGTTGACTGTTGGCAGGTCTCTTCAAATGAGTTGGACACTTGGAGGTTTGGTAGGAGTTAGGGCATCTTTATACTATCGAAAACAGGGCAAGAATCACTTCTCGACCTATATCGAGGAAGAGAACTGTGAATGAACTCGAAGGGTGACTCACATTCCCCGTCATATTCCCATTGGATAGGTATGTTGTTAGAATACAAGAGGGAGAAGGTGCAAACAATGCTCTATCAACTCTAGCAATACCTTCCCAAGTTCTTACAACTCACTACTTAGTGAATAGGTAACTGTTTCGGTCCCACAAGCACAATGGTAGAACCAGCTGACAACAATGGCGCTTCAGAATATAGAGGTAGATAAGGCAGCTATGTTAAATCGATTCAATCTTTATAGCAAAGAAGTTGCAAACATTAATATGCTCTATTTGTCTCGCTCCTTCCTCTTCCTCCCTCCTCTTCGCACTTGAAGGCGAATTTATATGCTCACTAACAGATACCTAGTTTGCTATACCCTCGATGCATCGCCCGGCTTTTATTCTCACGAGGTGCAGTTGTCTATGAATCATGTACCTAGTTTTAGAAACCGAGGCAATATCCAGCAATGCAAGCTAAACAAACATTTGAGAGAGCAGGATAATACCTGCATTTGGGATTGAAGACATACAGACTAGACACTACAGCACCCTTTGTCCCTTTGTACATAGAGGTGAGAATACTTAGAATATGTCAATTTGGGTTCGGATTGCACATACAGAATATGAAGTATTCTGTACTAGATCTGTGCGCTAGATACATGTAGATCCTATCCCACATGTCTAGGTAACCGATTTTGATGCACATCGGTATGCAGACCCTTGTCCAATAGTATACCGGTATGCCACCCAATTGGGGAATCGCTGAGGGGTTTTTTCTCGGTGAAGAAATATTCTATATTTATATATTATATGTCGCACGCATGCATGCAGTACATGTACAGAATTGTAGTACGCGTATGTATACCTGGTGCGCGGTATAGGCATAGATGAGCCAATTTGAAGCTTCTTCTTCAAAGCGTATACCTCCTAGGTAGGTACCTAATATCTGTATGTTAGTCGTCACATGCAGGTAGCCGGTCACATGCCGCCACTATGCCAGCTTTAGGATTATGGATTGAATCCCTTGGAGTGAACCCCTTTATTACATAAATAGCTGGCGAGTTAACTACCATTCTCTACAGTCTTTTGCGCTTTGGGATGAGAGAAAATTCGTAAACTATTAGACTAGCATTCTACGTTAAGAACGTAGGTCGAGAGATTGCCTAACGTTATACTACAATCAATGTATGCATACATAGTAGGTACCGCGCATGGTCCAAACCACAGCCACGGGACTGTTAGGTTGGTGTGGTGTGGCCAATGAGACGAGACGAGCATGGTGCTGGGTGTTAAACAATTTGAAACCCCTGGTCAGTCAGAGCCCTGGTACCCTAAATTACCTGAGACATTTAGCTAACTACTTCAAGCCAAGTGTTTCTATGTTACAGAGCTATGTAGGTAGGTATTTTGATCGCAAGGAAACCACAGAAACCACGGAAAGCCTACAGAATACAGTGTACTAAGACCTCGTGACTAGTAGATATGTACAGATACAAATAGTCTACGCAGGTACCTGGTTGGGTAGGTGTACATACATGCATATATAAATAAAGCACCTGCACTTTCGGGGGGCCTACATTGACGCTCTTACTTTATGTACAGCTTATAGGCAAGTACGTACTGACTGTATGTACAAAAGCGGGTTGGCTGCCAGTTCGTATCATTTCATACCATTCCGCACCTGTTCACAAATCTCCATTTGCTACCAGAGTTTCTCTTCCCACATAGGTCCTTGCTCCTACTGACCTCCCCCCCCCCCTCTCCCCCGTAATGGCTACGGTCTCTCTCGACCCGGAGGCCATTGAGCAACTCAGTGGTGAACGGAAGACGTTGCTTGATGCCATAGATGGTTTGCGAAAACATGGGATTGGGCGGTTTGTAGACCTCCCCCAGATCATCGTCGTTGGCGACCAGTCCTCGGGTAAGTCGTCTGTGCTGGAGGCCATTTCGCGAGTTCGTTTTCCCGTCAAAGATGGTGTATGCACGCGCTTCGCCACGGAGCTGGTGCTGCGAACCGATCCGCAGACTAGAGTCCATGTACAAGTGCAGCCCAGCTCTGTCTCGGCTGACGTATCCTACTTATTCGATGAGACAAGTTTCGACAAAGACGACCTACCACGCATCACCGAAGAGGCCAAGACTCGTCTGCTCAAAACCGGTGCCAGCTTTTCCGAAGATGTCTTGCGTATTGAGATATGTTCGCCGGATGTCCCTCACCTAACTCTTGTCGACCTTCCCGGGTTTTATCATTCCGAGGATGAGGATCAGCCTGCCGATGGCCGTGACATTGTGGACCGCCTTGCTGAGACTTACATGGCACGGAAGAACAGCATTATTTTAGCCATCGTATCAGCACGCAACCAGGTTGTAATGCAGAAGGTGCTTTCAAAGGTCAAAGGACATGATAAGAACCTGGAGCGAACCCTCGGCATCGTTACAAAGCCCGATCTCCTGACTCAGGGCTCTCAGGACGAAGACAAGTTCATTAAGTTGGCTAGAAACCAAGAACAGAAACATCACTTCGCCTTGGGATGGCACGTACTTCGTAATCGCAGCGAGGCAGAGCTTTCGCTGTCATTTGAAGAACGAGACTCTAAGGAGCAGATTTTTTTTGAGTCGGGTGTCTGGTCTGGTATTCCTTCGAGCAACCGAGGTATTGATACGTTGCGCAAAAAACTCGCCAATATACTCCTAGACCA